GAAACTCTATGGGCATTTGTTTGTTTGCAGTTTTTACTCAAGCTGACTGTAATTTTGGTAAATTTTCCACTTTTTCTGAAGGGGGAAAAACATGCAAAACACCAGGGGCGCTGGAACAATTTTTATAGTGCAGGTTCTGACAGCCATTGAACCAAACTGTAAACCCTGTATATAATGGAAACCACTTCAAGCCAGGAGGTGCAGCAGCATCCCCTGCACCCCCAGTTCCAGCACCTATGCAAAACACTGGGACTTAAAGGCAAAACATCCTTTCGGCAAAAGCCAAAGTTCACCAATTTAGGCAGCGCCACTTTTAGCTCTTGCAATTTGTCTTTCTTCTTTTCTTAAATGGTTTGATTATTTCTCCTATTCATTTTCCATTCACCCACTCCCCTCCACCCATGACCAAGAGAGCGAGAGTCACTTTCATATGTGCAAACATTAGCAGCTGCCTGGAAGCAACCTTAGCTCTGTCTGGAATGGCCTAATCATGTTTCCTTATCCAAAATACGACTAGAACAGTCACCAGAGAATAAATATGAACCCTTGTGCTGATTCTATTTGTATGTAGAAAAGGTAAGGGATAGTAACTCATGCGTATATAATGACCCAGGGGCCGTGGTAATTTGAGTGAAAGCCCTGCCCACTCTAATAAAACCTCTGCTCATTTCACAGAGACACACTCTTGCAGATTATCACTGCACATTAGGCACAGATTGAGCCAAAAGAGCTCTTTGATTGCTACCATTATTCTGACAAGTCAGCCTATAAGTATCATTGAACCTTGAGCGTTAACAAGACTAATTTGCCAGAGTACAACCCCTAGAACATCAAAGAATTAGAATACCCAGAAGGAAATGAGCATGTGTCAGAAGCTCTGGGCATCGTGAATAGGTTTGACTACTGCCTCCTTTTTTGAGTAGTTGGTGTGTGGCCATGGCCAGAGAAATGGAGCCAGGAAAGGTTCTGAGGAAGCTTAATTTTTTGTATCCATCATTAGCACCTTTAGACCTGGTCCACACTAACCCCCCACTTCGAACTAAGGTTCGCAAATTCAGCTATGTTCGTTCCTTCGTTCGAACTTACTGCGGGTCTAGACGCGGCAGGCAGGCTCCCCCGTCGATGCCGCGTACTCCTCTCGCCGAGCTGGAGTACTGGCGTCGACGGCGAGCACTTCCGGGATCGATTTATCGTGTCTAGACAAGACGCGATAAATCGATCCCAGAAGATCGATTGCTTACCGCCGGACCCGGAGGTAAGTGTAGACCTACCCTTATAGTTCTCCTCTTCAGGTGCTAAGCTCCAGTTGTACCTGCTCTAACATGCCATACCCTCCTGGGTGCTCAGAAGAGGAGAAATCCTACACCAAGGACACAGACCCCTCCAGAGCCAGAGGGTATTTGTGTCATTGAATATTCATTATTCATACTCCTGCACATCTCTGCAGGCTAAGTGTTTGCTAAGCCATTCTTAGCACAATTCCTTTTCACACCGATTTATCTCAGAGCCCTAGAATCCAAGCCGACTCCTCCTACATGCATTAAGCCTGCTGCAGGAGGGAAACCGCCAACAGTTGAGACGATATAAGCCAAACCTTTTTTATTTAAAAAAAAAAATGTACTGGATTTGAGAACCTCTTCCTGTCCCACATCAACCAGTAGCAGTAGGGAAATACCCCATTGGTGTAGTTCACTTTCCTCTGCACCTCCCCTATCTGGCTCTTCATTGAGCTGCACCAGCCTCAAGTTCTGAATATAAGCTCCAAAATCTGACTCCCAAAACAACTAGGAAAGGGGTGTGGGAAAACTGCAAAACCAAGTTCTAAAAAGGGCCCTTTTAACCTTAAAGAGAACTCCCAGTGAGAAGGAACTAGGAGGAAAATGCCATCCCCCTTCATTAAAAATTGCAGGCACATGAACCTGACCTGGTCTATAAGCGGTAATTGGATAAACGTGCAAAAAGTTTGCTTGCTTATCCAAAGCTCACTCTGTGAACATTGAGTCAGGTAAGTATTGGGTTGGGAAAAACAGAAGAACAAGCTTCCTCGTGAGACTTCTGGTACTCTCTAGCTCTGGATGGGCCAGTAATACTTCAAAGATATTGGGGGGGGGACATATCAGTGCTTCTGACTCTGGTGCATGTTAGACTGAGCTCCACCAAGATAGACATTTCTAGGGTCAGATTTTTAAAATAAAGGGCCCGTTGTTCAAAGGTTCTCACCACCCAACATGCTGAAAATCTGGCCAGAAGCCTCCCAATGGGAGCTGCTGAAAATCTGACCCTGAACTCTTTTGACATTTTGGCCCTAGAAAATTGAATAAGCTTTCGGAGCATGGGGGGAGACTAATTAGCTAAATAAATAAATAAATGCCCAGCCCCCAAGTCCAGCTGATGTACAATTAGTGCAGGACTTGGGAGTGGGACTGGAGAGAGAAAGGTGGCTCTGAGCTAAGTTACACCAGCCAGAGAGGTCCTTATAAGGGCAGCTGTCTGTTCCCTTTGTACTGCTAAAGTGGCATATGGGGGCTGTATCTGACTCAAGCTTTGAAGTTAATTTCAGTTGGGGTAAACTGGCTGGGATCACAGGCCAGGATATAAGCTACAAGCCCGGGAGATTTCTCCACCACCACTATGGATGCACACACTACCCAACCATCCCAATTCAGATCAAGCCTGGATTCCTAGGGGCCTGGGAAAGTCTATATCTTATTTGAGTTTTCAGGAAAAAGTTATTTTATCCAAACTATTCCACTCAACTTCAACCTCAGTTAAAATAAATAAACCTTTGTTTAATGCCCAAGGGGACAGGTCAGGAGTGAAACCAAGTGCATATTGTTACAGGTTGACTCTTTAATCTCATGTGGGACATTAAATTCATTCCCCAGATTTAGGAGGAATCCTCCATAGGCTAGTTTTGACCCAGTACACATTAGCAAACAGCTTCAGCTGAGAATCCGGTGTCCAAAGGGAAATGACTGCACAGCTTCTCTGCTAATTAGGATTTTGGGCAAAGAGACATGGAGTCTGGACACAGAGAAGAACATTAGTGAGAAGGGCAGCATCAGGGGAGACAATGTGGCAGCTTGCAAATTGCTGTGGAGGCCTAAGATCAGCAGCTGGGGAACACTGAGGCGTGGGGGGAAGGTACATGATAAGAAAAGAGACCTACACAGGCACCAAGAATAGAACTGAGCTGCAGCCACCTCTGCCTCTGGATGCAGAAAATAAAAAGCCAGTCGATGCATAAAGTTTCCTGGTTTTATGAGTGTTAAACCAGATAGAGCTAAATCCTGTACTCCTTACGCAGATGAAATTCCCATTGATTTTGGTGGGCATTTTACCTCAGTAAGGAGTGCAGAACCGAGCCCTTATAGATCAGCATGTTGTTATTTCAGATAGGCCTTTCAGTCCACTTGCACCATACCAACCACTGAGGAAGCAGAATCCTATCAGTCAAGGAGCTTTCAATTCAAAGAGACACACAATACAATGCAGGTTCATACTGAGCCGACTGGACAAAAGCTGGACTTCCTACCAAACCATGCAGTTTGAGGGTTGATTAATATTGACTAGACTTCATGGGAAAATGAGGTTTTTAGGAGAGATTTAAAAAAGGAGAAAAGATAGGGATGGAGTTGCAGGCATAAGGGGTAGCACCGAGGAAGGGATACCTGTGAAAACCTGAAGCTGTATCACCAGATGGAAAGGAAATGCACCAACTAGATGCTCCATTGTTCAGTAGCACCAAGGTGACAGAGAAAGAGAGACGACTCAAAACTGTTACAAATGCCTCCAATGCCTTTATACTAATGCTGATTCCAGCTGGTAACTCTATAAAGCTCCCTGAGACTTTGCAGAATTTCGGCTATCATCACACTGGGAATGTATTCGCAGTGGAGAGCAAAGAAAGATGCAAGGAATCAGAGACATTCCATTGTGATTAGACTGTCCTTTAGGGTGTTTAAATAAAACTCTTTCCATTTCCCTACCCTAATCTAGCACTGGTCCCCTCATTACCCTGCGGAACGCTCTGCGACTGTCAGTGTGAGAGCCGTCATTTCTGCAGATCCTGCTATCTGAAGGAACCTTTCTGTGTCTCTCCACAAAAAATAACATTTAGTCAAAAACTGAATTTTCCATCCAAAAAATGTTGCAGCAAGCCCTGCCCAAGAGCGCTCTTCTCTGCAGAGAAGCCCTGTGTCTCTTGTCTTCCTTCCTAGGTCTCTCCTCATTCTCATCTATCCATTCCTCTTCAAGCCTGATCAGAAAGTTTCTCTTTCCCCCTCATTTCTACGCCACTCAGATACCACAGTGAAGGGCATTAGATTAGATTTGATTAGATAGGAGACTCCCGTACATAAGAAAATATGTCTAAGAGAAGCTCACCTTCCTGTGAATGGAAATGAACTGGGATGGAGGCAGATACACAGAAATGATCCTCTGGGACATAGGTTCTGCTCACCCACTTAACAGTTTAATATACAGTTAAACTAACTCATCTACATTAGGCTCCATCAGATCTGTTTTGTGAACTTCTCATTACAGTTGAGCTACTAAAAGGGTTGAAATCTAGTTCCCTGGGTGCTCGGATTGGGAATGTCTCCATGCATGTTTGTCCTTTACATAAGTCTAATATTTTTGTATAAATAAACCTGCTCTCTGGAAACTGCAGACTAGGCTGCCTGGCAGAGGAGGTAATTCAAGTTGAGGTGCCAGGTTTGTCCTGGGCTGTGAGTACAGGAGCTGTGAGCACATTTGGCAGCTGGGTATGGGCATGATTCCATTATATTGCTCTTGAGAAGCCCAGTTCTCATCAGCACATGGAAGGGCATGGACAGGGTCTGGAATCAGCTCCATCTAGCCATCCTCAGCCCCACGAGAGTGAGTCAGCGTGGGGAAAATGGGGAGGATCCTGAATGAACCCACCCTATGGAATAAGCTATGTTTGAATCCATCCCGGCTGCATAATGTCTGAAGGAAGGCTGTTCAGTGGTACTTACCTAGCATCCCTTTGTTTGAGCTGGACAAGCACATATCCTTCTCAGCACTGGGCAGAACAAAGCCAACCACAAACACCTCCACCCCATCCGCCATCAGTGCCAAGCCTAAAACAAAGAAGAGCATCCACTGGAAGCGCCCGTGGCCACACTCCTCGATGATGTTCTCATACTGGTGGGCAAGCTGTTCCTCATCCTCCATCCGCTCGGCTATGAGCTCAGCCTTGTCTCTAAACTCATCGGCTATGGCAGGGGCTTTCTTCTTCTGTTTGCCCTTAATGTCATCTGGGTGAGGGATGCCCTGGTATTCTCCTTCGTAGACCTCATCTTCCTCATCATGGCCTTCCGTGGCATCGCTCTGGGCATCCTCTTCTTGGGTCCCATCATGGTAATAGCCATCTGAAGGTGCATAGTTGCCATCCTGATACCGGTAGTCATCTGACACCTGGTTCACCTCTCTAGCTATGTCCTTAGCCCCTTGATACAGATTTGCGTTGTTTCTATACCGATCATCCATTCTGAGTATATACTTCTACACACAGTATAGCGCGGTGTGTATAATCTTGAATATAGTTGCGTGTTTATTTATTCGTGCAATCTCTGCTACTAGCTACACAAACATAACTTCCCTCTGATCTGGAATCTGATGCGCAGTGCACTGAGCTGGCTGTAAAATTTCAGGGGGGAGTTTCTTACAGGGTTTTTGGTAACGTTTCAGGTTTGAGCTAGACTTTGTTGACTTGCTTCTTTCAGTAGGAGGGAAGGTGTAGTTGGGACTGTTGACTGGAGATATGTGAGGGATCAGGAACTTTGTACAACCAGGAGCTAGGAAGACTTGGCAGGTTGCTCTTTTTTCTGATCCATTGTGCTGATGAAGGTCATGCCCTGAGAAAGAAAGAGAAACAGCGATGAGACAATATTGAATTGAGAGGAGAAAGGCAGTGAGTGAAATAGACAACATTGCTAACACACTCTTTTCTATCTGAAGGGTGAAAAAAGGAGATGGAACATTCAGAGACTGTTATTGCACCTTCTAAAGGGAGGCATGTAAAGGCTATCAAATGGGTTGGAGACCATGGTTACTCTACTGATGTCCCAACTTGTGGCTGACACTGTCTTGAATCATAGTATGTCATTCCTAGAAGGCCGCAGCATTTGTTTCCATAGAGGACATCATGGTAATGAGTGGTGGTGATTGATCAATGCCTTTAAGTCACTAGAGCAGTGTTTCCCAAACTTGGGACGCCGCTTCTGTAGGGAAAGCCCCTGGCAGGCCGGGCCGGTTTGTTTACCTGCCCCGTCCGCAGGTCCGGCAGATCGCGGCTCCCACTGGCCGCAGTTCGCTGCTCCAGGCCAATGGGAGCTGCTGGAAGCAGCGCGGGCTGAGGGACGCACTGGCCGCCGCTTCCAGCAGCTCCCATTGGCCTGCAGCGGCGAACTGCGGCCAGTGGGAGCCACGATCGGCCGGACCTGCGGACGCGGCAGGTAAACAAACCGGCCCGGCCAGCCAGGGGCTTTCCCTACACAAGCGGCGTCCCAAGTTTGGGAAACACTGCACTAGAGGAATGTCTGTCTGCCAACTTGGAGCCCAGCCTTCATGATATTTAGGCACTCGTCGTCATCTTAATGAAAGAAAAACGGAGCTTTGCTTTTTCTTTTTAAGCCAGATCGCAGATGTCATTTTATTATATGGATTTTTTTTAAATGTATCCCCATCTGGACAAAAAGACCTGACAGATGCAGTGCATGCAGAGAGAAATTCTCCCAGCCACCCAGGCCCCATTTATTCCATTTTGAGCAACCACTGTAGGAGACATTTTCTCAGTTAGCAACAAATGAAGTTAAGATGGAATCATGACCCTCTTCGGAGAAAACGGAGTGAAGCCAAATCCTTTATAAACAACCTCAGATTTTGGACACCTGTACTCAATTATTTTTCAAGTGGATTTCAGCCAGTTGGCTCTCTTGTGCCTTTTCCTATTACACAGAGCTGAAAACAAGGTTTTTGAAAGAAGGCGTCAGTTAGTAAATAAATATACAGTACAATCATGCAATAAGAGCTACTATAGGTCAGATGTGGTATAAGATTGGTTTTCATTTGAAGCTTTCAGGTAGTAACCTAAATATGTAAAATATAAATGAACCATTAACTGACATATCTATATAATATGTAACCTGTGAGCACTATTATTTTGTGTGTGTATATGTATATATACACTTATGCACACTTTGTATTTGTGTGTGTGTGTACACATGCACACACATACATGTTTATGGCATGCAAAGGTGATAATCAACATAACAATGCAAACTCTGCACTTCAGAATATTACTCTCATCATGTGGGCACTGTGCAAATGCCATACAGCTGAAATTATGTACACACAATTCTGATAGGAAATGCAGTAAAACCAACATTGTCAAATGCTCTGAAGGGAGCCACTCATGTCACACGCTAGGAAAAAGCATTACGGTCAAAGTAGCATCAAAAATAACATTTGGATTAAAACAGAGTCTGCCTGTAGAGAAAGGTCTTTCTATACTATATTGAAAAGAGTTCCCTTGAGCATGAATGGGGATCCTCCAAGCAGTTCCATGTGTTTATGCAAAGCCCTGTTTTGTTATGTTTACAACCGAATCAGGAGTTTCATGCAGAGTAAAACAGCTTTTGCTTCTTTTGCTCTGGTGTCCTGTAACAGATCTGCTTTCTAGCTCATCTAGAGGGCCACTCTTCAAACCTGCTTATGGAACCTACTAACTGTGGGAGGCACCAGCTTGCTGGTCATGCACACATAATCGGAAAGAGGCAGGTCCCAATATACAGTACTACAGTTACTACTGTTTCCAACAGAATTGCCATGTTTGTGGTATGCCAAGCAAGATCTCCATTCAAACTACATTAACTTTGATCTATGATTCCCCTATAAGTGGCATCACAAGCCTTCCCGGCAGCAGGTAATAACCTCGTGGCACAGTAGATGTGCCAATAAGGCCCCTGTAACCGAGTCTCCACAAGTGCACAGATATATTTATACCCACTGGTCCCTGCTGACGCACGAATCATCTCACCTCAGCCAGTCACTGTTGAACTAGTGGTTTGACTGTTGTGTCTTGCAACAAACCAGCTGCTCTGTATTAAGTGCTGATAAAAGCTTGTCCCCACGTTTAGTGCTGGAGAGTACGCTGTGGTGGATCATCCAGCAGGGTTATAAATTACCTGACCTACTAGTTTGCAAGCAGCCTTCATTTCTAGGATCCAGTGCTGTTTAAGGGATTGCGCTAGCATGGGGATAGAAGGGAAGGAGGGAGGGATGGGGGGCTGCCTACCCCAATCCACTCCGTGGGGAGGCAGAGCGCACAGAATGCTGCCTGCTAGTACCTTCAAGGGTGTACACGGCTCCAAAGGGAGGAGGGAAGGAGGTGTGAGCATGGGCTTGCACAGCTTCTTCATCAGCCAAGCTGGGGATGAACATGCTTCATTATCCTCAGGTACAAAACTCCCCATGGCACAGTTCTTCTGGGAGCTGCCTTAGGTGCAACCAGCTCTGCACTACTCCCGGTCAGGCACAATCCAGCCATTTATAGGGGCCACTGGCAGTGCAAGGAATAGAGAAAATAAGGATCTTTCGGCATGAAAGAGGCCAGGATGCTGAGCTCGGTCTTTCTGCTCTTTCTAACCAATGCGTGCAGTCTGCAGCATGTGTTTCGTTAACTGTATGGCATACACATAGGCCGCTTTCTCATTATGGGGCGGCGGGGTCAGTCTCTCTCCATGGGCACTTTCAGAGCATCTATCTTTCCTTTAGCTCCCATGACATTTGTCGCTGCAGTAAGCACATTTCCTTTCTTTTGCTGAGTCACCCCATACATTTTCCATTAGGTTAAAAAGGCAGCGGGGCATTTTCCAGGACTGTGAAAAACCAATCAATAAAAAAAAGAGGCAAGCCAATCAAGTCAGAAAGATCAAGCAACTCTAGAGAACGCTGCAGTAAAGAGAAGCCTTTGCATCCACTCTGGATGTGTTTATATGCAAAGAAGTTAATACACTGACAGCCAGTGGAGGCATTTCACAGGTTTTACATCTTGCGTTTCATTGCTAAAGGGCCTCCAGCGTGGGTTAAAAAAAAACCCAGACTCCTTTGGAGTCTTAAAAATCCATCTCGCTTTTGAAATAACCTTTTCCATTATACAAAGGTTCACTCCAAGGGTGGATATTATTCTCTTCGAGGCAGTGAGAATTTAGCTCCATTGAGAATATTTTCTTCCAGAAAGAAGGGGGAAGGGTTTTTAAACGGGAACACTCTGTTCTGGTACAAAGAATCAGGAAGAACATTAGACCCTGCTGTTCAATTGTTCAAGTGGCATTTGTTGGCAGGTTATGTTTCAAAGTGACCTCAAGTCTCAGCCTGTCAAATCAAAGAAAGTGACCTGGGCAGTGTTTCCGTCGCCACTTTCTTTTCTGGAAACAAGACGTTGCTTCCTGCTGATTGTTGTAAAGCCGAACTGTAAAGCTTTCCTTGTAAATGAAATTATAATAATTAACAAACTTTTCAAGAGTCCAGATCAGCAACAGCCTTTAACATACCAAATCAGCAACAGGCCCAAGATGCCTGAATACCATTAAAAAGCTGGCCCTTTATACCAGCACCCATTGAACCCAGCAGTGAATTTTGCTACTGATGTAAATGGGAGTAGGATTGGGTCCTCAATGCGCACTGGCAATTTGGGAGTAGATTAAATATACGATGCCCCAATATCTTCTCTGTCCTGATATTCATGGAAACCAGTAACTGGTCATTTATAATTTGTTAAAATTACAAAGAGATACATTTGACAACAAAAAAGCTGGAAATCATTTCCTCCTTTCCTAAGATGCCACAACATGAGCTGAGGATTGTGTGTGTCACCCAGAATCACAGGGGACAGAGGAGCATCCAGGCCATCACACTCCTGCCAGGTCAGGATTGTTCTCTACCGTATGGCACCACTTACCTCAAGGGCATTGTAAGGAATGCAGGAAAGTAATGCCGCTCTAGGGATATCATCGGCTGTTGAAGTGGGAACCATATAGTTCAGGTCTTGGCAGGTAAAAAGCTTTTCCGTTCACATTTATTCCGCAGAATGCAGGGCTATCGGCTGCACAGAGTCCGATCTGGATGGTAATGGCAGTGGCACATGGGTCATTATCTTACTCAACAGCTATACAACAGCCCCTGCCTTTGCCTTCACTTTGCAACTGTTCCACAGGTTGCAGTCACACCCAGCGTAGCTGAATTCGACGTATCGGAGCCGACTTACCCCGCTGTGAAGACGGCGGCAAATCGACCTCCGCGGCTCCCCCATCGACGGCACTTACTCCTACCTCCGCTGGTGGAGTACAAGCGTCGATTCGGGGATCGATTGTCGCGTCCCGACGAGACGCGATAATTCGATCCCCGAGAGATCGATTTCTACCCGCCGATTCAGGCGGGTAGTGTAGACGTAGCCTGAGACAGACCCACTAACTCTAGCAGCACACACGCTCCTCTCCTGGTGCATGGAGTAATGCAGCACCCACTCTTCCGGAGCAGGGAACTTCCACTCTCTCCCTGCAGTTTGCACACCCTCCTGGGAGCAGGGAGCAGGGAAATCTCTCTCCCTGCAGCCTGCAGGTTGTCCTCTCTCTCACACTCTTGCTGCCTCTCTCACACTGCAGCCTGCACAGTACTCTGCTAACAACTTCACTCTGCTGGAATGTGTAGTGAGCCAGCAGTTGGCTGTATTCCCCCTATGAATCCTCCTTTGTCACATGGTACTGGCCAGGCACTTTCATGACCAGTTACTGGTTTCCACGAATGTCAGGACAGAGAAGATACTGGGGCATCGTATATTTAATCTACTCCCAAA